CTGCGAAATAACTATTCCGCGGCAGTACCGTCTGATAGAGTGGGGAGAGCACTAAAGACGTTCTCGTTAAATTTCGTGAACTCGGTCCTTTAGTACCAGGGTTGGTTTCGACGTCAGTCCTGATAAGCAGGACTTGGAGCAACCCAGTTGCAAGGTGTTGCTGCACTAGTGATCTTAGATTAATATTACCTGTTGTAGTAATCTATTTTAACATTTTGTGGCTGGTTATTTTCATCTTCTTTGGAATTATTGTGCTTTAATTTTGAGCTTCAACTATAGCTGGATGGTATTTGCGCATAAGCAACTTTTAAACAGCAGCTAGTAGCTTCGTCGGTGTATTTATCGGCTAGCTCGTTGTTGTTGTAACCGCAAAATTATTCCCCAAAGTAATTTTTGGGGAATGTTGCGGGAGTGACAGTCCTTGGCCGGATAAAAATCCGGGTCGTTTCGGTATAAAGACTCGACTGTCGCGGAAACTATCGGCTCTTAGTCGCCTTTTACGACAGGCATGCCTTACCGCGTGTAAATTCTTGAGCCCCTAACCCGCAGGGGGTTCGGCTAACTCGTGATTGAATGTTTTCTGCTGAGGATATACAGATGCTCTGAAATTGAAGCGATGAGAGATATTGCATTTCTTCTATCTTTGATCGCATCGAGACATGACATTCTATCGCTATATGCAGGTTTGATTTATGTTTTCCAAATTTTCTTTTGGTTGATGTACAACAAATGTGCAACCACATTCATCGGATTCGAGTTTGCTTCCGTCAGCAAAAATCTGGACGTCGTTTGAGGTTACAGTACCATACTCTAATATTTGGGGTTACACGGGATGGAGTTGTGTGTTTGGTAGAACGAACTTGTCGACCATATTTTTTGTGTCTGTGGGTCGATTTATCCAAGGTCCGCTGTATTTGGCGTCGTGTAACTGGATTTTTTCTGCATCTTTATGATGTAGCGGTGTACAATTAGCAAAGGCAAGTGCCGAAGTAGCTTATACGGTATGTTGCTGTTGCTGTTGATGATGTTGTTTTTGTTGTAGCGGTTCGAAAACACCGCTTAGGCACAGGTTTGATTAGTCTAAGTCGCCGATCTAATGGGAGGTCCAAGAAACGAGCTGTTTCGACGGGGTTGTTCCAAAGGGAGAGGGGGGTTAGATGAGTTGGTTTGAGAGGGCATGTGAAGAGGTGGTTAGTGTCGTGCGGGGACTCTCCACATGCAGGGCATACGTTGGGTATGCTGGGGTCTAGTCTGAATAGGTAGGAGTTTAACCTGCTCCAGTATCCCGACCTGAGTTGTGTCAAGGTCACGCGGGTTTCTCGAGGCAGCTCGAGCTCGTTGTCTGCTATAGGTGGTTATTTTTCTCCAAGCACTTCAATCACGCGAAGTGAGTTCTTGAAGGTGTTGACTGACTCCTGGTGATTGGCGTTCAGTGCTTGTCTGTACGCCGTCTTGTCCAGCGATAGTTTTACGTGTTGCTAGTTGGTGTTTTTTAAGTCAAGCACTCCCTTTCTGATGTGCCCAGATGGAGGTTCAGTTTCGATTAGATGCCTGTTTGGGTGCTACCTACGGTAACATTCCAATAGGAACTACTTGCACAGTAAATCATTATGCTTCTTAACTCGTAGCATAGATGTTTAACTGTACAAGTGATGCGCCGGCTACATCAGGTGGTTTCCTGTCGCAGTCCTCAGGGTGGTGTTCTGGCAAGCCTGTAGCTTCGTCATCTGCGCCTCGTTCATCCCCGGCACCCAGATCGGGCCAGCATAGTTTACGACCAGTCGGCCAATTGCTTTATAAGTTCCTTGTCGCTTTGACTATTTTGTTGCGGCAATTGCGGTCGTATGTGGAGTGAAGGAGAGCGGGCTACCGCCCCCCCCCCCATATCTTTGAATTGTTTACAGCCGGAATTTTTTCGGAATCGAACTAGTATTATTTCGCGTCGTGTTCATCTGTAGCTATATTCATTTCAAAGGTACTGCCATTTCGCGTCGTTTACAGTAGATGTCATTTGTTTTAGCGTGAACAAGAATTTGTTTCATTCATTTCAAAATGTCGAAATTTGTACCAACTAAAGTGTTTTTGCAAAGAGTTCTTCTTTATTACTTTAACAAGAAGAAAAATGCCATCATATTTTACTGAACGTTTATGGCGGCCATGCTTTAGCCGAACGAACGTGCCAAAAGTGGTTTGTACGGTTTAAAAGTGTCAATTTGGACTTAGACGACAGTCAACCAAAAAAATTTCAACACCAAGAATTGGGGACATTGCTCAACGCAGATGCAAGCCAGACGCAAGAACAACTTGCAAAAGTATTAGGAACTGATCAAGAAACCGTTTCCAGACGATTAAAATCAAAAAACCGCACAAAGTAGTGCATGCATCCAATAGTTCAAGCCTGTATTCCTTCGTTCGGCTGATGAAGAGGGTAGCCGAGAATTCGGTCGGCTGTATTTTCAGTTATCGTACAGTGATGAAGTAAGAAAGATCGACAAGGCAGTAGTTTACTTTCAGACAGAGGTCATCAATATCCTGGACAGACACCATTATCGTACAATCATCGACACTCGAGGTTATGGAAACTCTTTCACGGGGAGGAGGAAGCTTCGAAATATTAAAATTAAACAGTAGTGGGGAAAGGACTCCACCCTGCCGAAACCCCTATTCAATTTTTCTGGGTGTCGATGTTCCACCTCGGAATATTACCTACGATTGTCGACTACTGAGGTAGCCTATGACCCACATCTGCAACCCCGGCGGAAATGAGGATTTCTCAATGTCCGTTATTAGCACTGAATGATTCACTGTGTACAAAAGCTTTTGACAGATCCAGTGCTACCAGGACAGTTCGCGCGCAGGGTAGGTTTTGGTTATTGACTATCTGGGTGTTTATGGCGTTTAGTGCTGTTGTGCTGCTGGACCCAGATGGTGAGTGAAGGTCAGGAGCAGCAAGGCCGCAAGTGTCTCCGCTACTGAAGAAGGGAGAGTTATTGGCTGATAAGACTTTCCTTTGCTGGCTGTTTTCCACGTCAATATCATTAGGATCCCGATGACCCCCTAAGCCTCTTCCCTATAGAAATCAAACGTCGCGCTGGTATTTGGCAGCTTGCGGGTTATATGACCCTTCGTTTTGTCAACCGAAGGATGCAGTGTGAAAGATCGACTAAAATATCTCGCGCATCGCTTCGAGTCCGACGAGGCTCGATAACCGAATGAAATTTCCACCCGGTCATCACGTGTTGTCGGGTTAGACAACGACTTGACTGTAGCCCAGAGCTTGGTTGCCCCAGAGGAGAGGTTGCAGGTCCTTACGTGCTCCCCCCACTTTCTCCGGTTTTTGTTGTTAACAACTCTAAAGACGTTCTCGGTGAAATCAATGAAGCCGGACTTTTTACTTGAACTTTTTTAAAGTCAACAAATGTCCGGTGATCCGCGGAAACAAATTCGACAGGTCTGTGTATCGAGATCTGTGTTGGAAAGTGGGCTTATGCTATTGTCAGTATAGGTCGCCTGTCTATACTGTTTATCAGACCAACACTCGCAATATTTATGCCTGGTGAGCCTTGGCATTTACCCACAACTCTGGTGTGGGGTGTTATCGTTCATTGTGCAGAATGTTGAATCGTCTATCTGCTCCAATAGCTCCATTCCGCTTTGGTCATTTGACAGGCTAGAATGCCAAAGATCGTGATGCGCGTTAAAGTCGCCAAAAACCTAACGGTTTTCGCCTCTGAGCAGCGCACCTATGTCAGAGGTGTATCCTGCTGGGCAACTTGTAACTGGAGGAATGTATATATTGAATATTTCGAGCTCGACATCGCCTGACCGGATAGCTATGCCCTGACATTCTAGGGTAGTATCCTTGCGGTCGATGTCGCCATCGATAAGATGATACTGCACGGTGCTCTGTAGTAGAAACTCTAAGCCCCCACCATGGTCCCGCTCATGATCGTTGCGGATAATATTGTATCCGGCCAGGCTCAGAAGATTCGAGCAGGCGGTCAACTTCGTTTCCTAGAGTGCAGCAATTGACAGTTGCTCCCGGCTCATATCGTCGACTATTTCGTTAGTCTTTGCCTGGAGTCCGTTTCAATTAAATTGTAAACGTCATGTCTGTTTTGGAGTGACGTTCGGGATGCGGGGGGTTAGGGTGCGATGTTGCTATTACCCACTGAACTTGGTGCCACACGTTGGTGTTGGTTAGCGGCGTTGTTGTAGAAACAGGTGGGGTAGACTGATACAGTATGGGGCAACGTGGTGCATGCACAGCCCAGAACACGTCCTAAACAGACACCAGCCAGAGCAAGAGTTGCATCTGATAGAGGTCGAGTTCCGACGTTCTACGGTCTGACACACGGTACAGACTGAACGGGGGACTAGGAGCTGCTGGGTAGCCCTCGGACGGGAGAAGGAAGAGGATCTGGTTGTGGGTAGGTATGTGGATTGGTGGGCGTAATACTGCGGAGAGCTACATGAGACCGTAGAGGTCTATTGGCTACCCAATAGTACTTAGAGGTGCTGAAGGAACTGCCGAGGAGGCTGGGGCCGCACTTGAGCAATGGCAGGATGGGGTCACGTAACTTGTGGACCACTCTCAGTGGATGTTAAGGACTGAGCAGACCTTAAAATGACTGCAACCATTGCACTCGTTGCACCTAACCGAGGTGGAGAAGTGGTGGAGTCTTTTATGGCACACGCAGTAGAAATAATCCATCGGACCTGGGTTGGTATCGACGCCAGCCCTGATGAGAAGGAGCAGCCCAGTTGATGTTACCTGTTGACCTTAACGGGGTTAGGTTGCCAAAAGGGTGACAGCCCTTGGCCAGATAAAATTCGGGTCGACTCCGGAGCGTAGAACCAATGGTCCTGACAGTTGAAAATTATTTGTTTTCTATATTGGTTGCTATAAACTTATAGTATGAGTTTTGGAATATATTAAAAATAGTGAAACGTGGATGAAGATTTGTCAGTTCTTTGATATTCATTTTAAGGAATACGAATTAATTAAATATTACATTTTATTTATTTGGAAATTTACGTTTTAAGCAATAGTTTGTAATTTTTGTAACAATGTGCATCATATTTCCTGTAGCACATTAATTGAATATGGTATTATAATTTTTCTTCTAGTAGTTTATATATTAAATTAAACATACTTCATCTAAAAATACACACTTAATATTTCAAGTTTTCACTTCTCTCGGCGTTTTCGCCACTGTTGTTTTTTTTAATCAATTATTTAGTGAAAACCAAAAAATTGATGCAATCGTTAAAAATTATATGCTTAGTTTGCATTATAAATAAGTATGTAAGATTGTAAAAAATTAGACCTAAAGGTCTGCTTATGCTAACTAACATGGAATTCTCCATTTTTTTACTTATTTTCATATGGTTCAGTTTTTAACTACTTGAAATTCCAAAATTAATACACAAATATACACCTTATTGTATAAATAGCTAGTAATCCTAAGCAATTGACCTTAGCGTTAGATGAAGTAATATTACCACCATTTAAATTCTTAGATGTTTTGAAACTGAAATGCTGACACAACTGCATTTCTAACCTATGCTATGAGGAAAGTACACGCTTTGTACTCAGATTTGTATTACTAGATGGCAATTCGTACGCAACGCCACCCCACTGTAACTTGTATGTTCTTTTGCGCCATCTAATCGCAGGATTCCACAGTGCATGGAGAAATAGGTAAGGACCACTTACTTCCCTAAAGAGCCAGCCGATGACAAATTCAAATTTATGAAACGACAAGGTTCCATGCTATGAATAAACAATATAAGAATTAGTTATATAATAGATAATTTAATTTAAATAGTACTAGAAAATTACCTGCACAATAGAAAGCAATATCCAATCAGATAAAAGCCATGTAAGCACATGTACTAAATAAAAGACCAACGGGTCCCAGTTAAACAGTAACGCAGCAGACCATGACGCCAAGGCACCTAATACCATACACTCAGAGAGAGGTTCTAATAGTATTGTTGTTGGTACCATGGCCACACGCAGTTTCGCCCATCGTATTAGACGCTCTTGGAAACTACTTATATCACATACACCACTATTTTGCATTGCGGGTTGATTACTTATCCTCATTTTCCAGCCTTTGTCTCTAATTGCTTTAGCTATAAAGAAATCTTCAGCCAGGTAACATCCAAAGGCTTTCAGACCACCCAGTTCATCCATCACAGACTTTCGTAGCAAACAAGACATTCCTGTGTGACAATTAATGCCTAACAAATCAGCAGATAAATAAATGCGAGACTGGACGGTGCCGAAAAAAATCTGGAACAAATATGCATTGTTATAATTTCTCTATTAATATTTAAGATTGTAAAAAAAAGAGTTATTAAAAAATGTACAAAAAGAAAAACGCTGTGAGTAGGAAGTCACAACTAAAAACTGTAGAGTGTCGCGTCGCATAAAATAAATCTAATTTCGCACCTATACTCATAACAATGAAAATAGTTGAATACCCTCTTTTTAGCGATAACGCTCATGTACAGGAAACTCTTATGAGTACTGCTTTGTCGATAAGCCAGTATCTCCGACTTGCAACGTCTCAGTTTCATACTAAACACCACTCGTTTTAATACTACTCATCCTAGGGAGCTTCCGATAAAGTAATAAGCTCTTTGCATATATCTTTATGCCCAAAAGAATACATATACCTCTCTATAATACCTCTCTATAAACATTCAGTTCATTCTCATGCAAACACATTCGTCTCACTTTCAATTTATGTTTTTACTACTGAGTTTCAAACTCAGTTGAACATTCCAGCAATGTGCATTTGCCATTTCTACCACAATATCTATTTTGAAATTGAGCAACTGTTTTATCTTTTGAAATTTTGTATTTACATAATTAATAACTATGCAATTTTAAATTGAAATTCCTTTGATTATTTATAAAGAAACTTCTTACAGGGTATGAATAACAAAAGGCGTTCTATTCGAAAATAACTGCATGAAATAAAACGAATAATCTGTTCAACTGCACTCTGTTTTAATTTGAATGTACTTCAAAGAGAAAGACTGAAATCTATTTTGGATAACATTTCCAAATGTGCTTACCGAATCTTTGATAATTTTTACATTAAATTCGAATTTATCTTTGAAGCAACCTTCGAGAATAAGATCAACAAAATAAGTTGCTTAAGTGTTACTGTTGCACAAAAATCATGTGTTTTTTTGTTGGAGGAGGGACTTTCGATAATTAGAAATTAAACAGAAGTGAGGAGAGGACACCACCCTCGTCGGGTTAGACAACGAAATGACTGTATCCCAGAGCTTGGTTGCTACAGAGCAGATATTGCAGGATCTTAAGTGCCCACTTTTACCGCTTGTGACTGTTTAATACATTGCGAATCTTCGTGTTTAAAACCCTGATTAGGGGATTTCAGGGATCGAAGTTACGAAGGGTGTCGCGCCCGATTAAGCGTGCGGCAGCTTTAACGAAAATCCTTCGGAAAGAATGTTCACCAGAATTGGCGTCTGATGGAGTAAGGAGAGCACATAAGATGTTCTCGGTAAATTCAATGAAGCCGGACTTTTTACTTGAACTTTTTTAAAGTCAACAAATGTCCGGTGATCCGCGGAAACAAATTCGACAGGTCTGTGTATCGAGATCTGTGTTGGAAAGTGGGCTTATGCTATTGTCAGTATAGGTCGCCTGTCTATACTGTTTATCAGACCAACACTCGCAATATTTATGCCTGGTGAGCCTTGGCATTTACCCACAACTCTGGTGTGGGGTGTTATCGTTCATTGTGCAGAATGTTGAATCGTCTATCTGCTCCAATAGCTCCATTCCGCTTTGGTCATTTGACAGGCTAGAATGCCAAAGATCGTGATGCGCGTTAAAGTCGCCAAAAACCTAACGGTTTTCGCCTCTGAGCAGCGCACCTATGTCAGAGGTGTATCCTGCTGGGCAACTTGTAACTGGAGGAATGTATATATTGAATATTTCGAGCTCGACATCGCCTGACCGGATAGCTATGCCCTGACATTCTAGGGTAGTATCCTTGCGGTCGATGTCGCCATCGATAAGATGATACTGCACGGTGCTCTGTAGTAGAAACTCTAAGCCCCCACCATGGTCCCGCTCATGATCGTTGCGGATAATATTGTATCCGGCCAGGCTCAGAAGATTCGAGCAGGCGGTCAACTTCGTTTCCTAGAGTGCAGCAATTGACAGTTGCTCCCGGCTCATATCGTCGACTATTTCGTTAGTCTTTGCCTGGAGTCCGTTTCAATTAAATTGTAAACGTCATGTCTGTTTTGGAGTGACGTTCGGGATGCGGGGGGTTAGGGTGCGATGTTGCTATTACCCACTGAACTTGGTGCCACACGTTGGTGTTGGTTAGCGGCGTTGTTGTAGAAACAGGTGGGGTAGACTGATACAGTATGGGGCAACGTGGTGCATGCACAGCCCAGAACACGTCCTAAACAGACACCAGCCAGAGCAAGAGTTGCATCTGATAGAGGTCGAGTTCCGACGTTCTACGGTCTGACACACGGTACAGACTGAACGGGGGACTAGGAGCTGCTGGGTAGCCCTCGGACGGGAGAAGGAAGAGGATCTGGTTGTGGGTAGGTATGTGGATTGGTGGGCGTAATACTGCGGAGAGCTACATGAGACCGTAGAGGTCTATTGGCTACCCAATAGTACTTAGAGGTGCTGAAGGAACTGCCGAGGAGGCTGGGGCCGCACTTGAGCAATGGCAGGATGGGGTCACGTAACTTGTGGACCACTCTCAGTGGATGTTAAGGACTGAGCAGACCTTAAAATGACTGCAACCATTGCACTCGTTGCACCTAACCGAGGTGGAGAAGTGGTGGAGTCTTTTATGGCACACGCAGTAGGAATAATCCATCGGACCAGGGATGGCTTCGATGCCAGACCTGATGAGAAGGATTTGGAGCAGCCCGGCTGCGAGATATTGCTCCGTTGGTGCATTTCAATTAATGTTACCTGTTGACCTTAACGGGGTTAGGTTGCCAAAAGGGTGACAGCCCTTGGCCAGATAAAATTCGGGTCGACTCCGGAGCGTAGAACCAATGGTCCTGACAGTTGAAAATTATTTGTTTTCTATATTGGTTGCTATAAACTTATAGTATGAGTTTTGGAATATATTAAAAATAGTGAAACGTGGATGAAGATTTGTCAGTTCTTTGATATTCATTTTAAGGAATACGAATTAATTAAATATTACATTTTATTTATTTGGAAATTTACGTTTTAAGCAATAGTTTGTAATTTTTGTAACAATGTGCATCATATTTCCTGTAGCACATTAATTGAATATGGTATTATAATTTTTCTTGTAGTAGTTTATATATTAAATTAAACACACTTCATCTAAAAATACACACTTAATATTTCAAGTCTTCACTTCTCTCGACGTTCCCGCATTAAAACAAAAAATGGGTGCAATCTTAAAAATTATATGCATAGTTTTAGTATTATAAATAAGTATGTAACATTTGATAATTATAAATACTAAAAAATTACACCTTCTTATGCTAATTAACATGGAATTCTCCAAAAATATTGTGCGTGAACTGTCGGAACTTTTCATGACTGAAACAATAACTTTTTATTTATCATTAAGCTGGAGGCATACAGACAGGCATTTTAATTCGATGAAACTTATGAAAGAAATGGGTGTGTTTTTTTTGCCATATTCTAGTAGTGAGGCAAGTTTTTCCTAAAACAGTTGATTCGAAACAGTAAAAATATCTGGAGAAAGTGCAGAATAAAAATTATTAAAACTATAATTGAAAAAAGCCCTTTGGGCTATCTACGTTTGGGTCAACAGCTAACATTAGTCTAAGGTCACCAATGGAACAACACCTCGCAGCTGGGCTGCTGCAAATATTTCTCACCAGGGCTGGCGTCAAAACCAACCCTGGTCCGAGACATAAGTTCTGCTGCGTGTGCCATAAAAGACTCGACAATTCATCCATGACATTTAGATGAAGCCAGTGCATTGGTTGGTGTCATTTTGAGACTTGCTTAGGCATTAAAAGACACAGGGAGTGGTTCACATGCCATGTAGTCCAGTGCTACTATCGGACATTGAGGAATCCTCATTACCAACGGGGTTGAAAAGGTTGATTATGGACTACCTAAGTGGTCAACAATCATCGGTAAAATTTAGAGGCGGAACATGAAAACTAAGATCAAAAAGGGGTTCCGCAGGGTGGTGTCCTCTCTCCATTATTGTTCAATTGCCGAGTTTTAACCGCTGAAGCGATTTTTCGGCCGAGCTCCTTCTCCAATTTGTGGTTTTCGCGTGTTGATGATTTTCCAACAAATGGAGGGACCTGCAGCTTATACTAGGCCGTCTCCGAACGGCTTTTTTACAAACAACCTTTGTTTCATGTCCGAAGTACACTCGGAGGGGAGGACAGTCTCTGCCGAGGGGCGACCGTAATTAGAAAATTGAGCTTAATTTTTGTATTTAAATTAATTTTCCATAACTTTTAGATGTTAGTGGTACCGGGTTAAGAACCCGAGTCTTCCACTGACATTTGGTCTCAATGCTAACCACTCGGCAACCACGGTTCCCTGTTTTTGTGGATTTTCGAACGTTTAATTCTCCTCATTTTTTATAGTTAAAAAAGCAGATTTTTTTTAAGAAGAGAGGGTAGCATGAAAAAGGCGAAACACGTTTAATGTCAGCTAGCTATGAAGTCGACTGCGAAGGGAGAATAAAACTATTTTTAAATTATTGTATCACGCAATAAAGTACGTATTGAGTTCGATAATAATGAACAATGCGAAAACATCAAGTCTAAGCTATCAAACGATCAAAGTTTAAGACCCCAAATATCAAGCGGCCACTTGTTATCGTAAGAGACATTTCTTAGAAAATTTAACTAAAAAATTTTTTGAGCATTATCAAAACCTTAAACCCCACAGTAAGCGCCGAAGACAAGAATGTTGACGACACAAAGTACCGATTTATGCAACGGAGAAACGCAGACCATTTATACAATGCTGTACTAGAAGTTGCCCCAATTTTTTATCGATTCCTCCACAACAGATAGAGGTGAAAAATATATGATGAGGATCCTGTACAAGCTGTGGTAATAATATATTGTCGATTTATTAAGTACTTAATTTTTCATTGGTTTTTGCATTTGTTTATTTAAGGACACTATACATTGTACGGGAAATTCAGCTAATGGAGCAGATTGACTGCAATGGACGGTTCTCATTTTTCAGCAACTGCATATTTAAAAATTTTTAATAAAACTGTGCGAGGTACAACTACA